AGATTTCTCTCAAATCCACTGAGGACCCCTTCAGACAGATAATCTTCATTCCATCCTTTGTGGTGCGGATTTGGAATAGAAATGGATACAATGGATCCATCCCCATTATACCTGTATTTCGTTTCGGTCACACTGTCGCATGCATCTTCCAATACAAATGAAGCCAAATTGATTTTGCGGCGCTTCCCTCTTGTGCAGTCCTGGTGGTGATTCCGCCATGAGAATTCGATCATGAGAACTACATCTTCTGGATTCAATGAACTCATAATAGGACGGTCATCTTCATCCTCATGATGAATGAGCTGTGCCAGCTGCCATCCTCTTGTTGGGGCAAAACTTCTTCGCAGAACAGCAGCAGTTTCAGCTCCATGGGTGACATCAATCAAATTGTCCCACAGCGGATCATCTTTCTCATCCAAGGTCTCCCGCCATCCACGAGACACACAGCGAAGAGCCATGGCATCTGACAGGGTCAGCCAAGAAGCACAAAGGGAGCGAACAGTAGCAACGTCCATGGTCGGTTCTGTTCATAGCTACCGTCGCTAATGGCCGGAAATGAAAACTGGAACTTCAAAAAAAATGACGGGAGACAGAAAGAAGTCAGAAAAGCTGCTTTCTGAAGCAGCGGAAACTTCCGTCGTTGTCCGGCTTTCTCGACTCGACTCAGAACTATCTATAGTTTTCGTTTCAACGTTATCTCAGGGGGCCAAGTTGTCTACACTTGTAGCTTATTAGATTGATCAATAAAGAAAGACCGAGCAGTTTTGCCAGGAAGCCCCGACTCAAGCAATCGACTTTCTAATGGAAGCTTTGCTACCAGTATGGTCTTACTACTTTTATCCAGTTCCTCCTTGCTTGTCAGCACTGATCCTGGTTCGTGTGGCTGACCGCCTTCTTGTGATAACATGTGTTTGGATTCAAATTTTGTTCGGAGCTATTACAGTACCACTACTATGCATAGCTAGAGCTATGCTGTGAATAAGCGTTGGGTGCCGGTACACGGAGCGGGACGCAGCTAATAGATACTAGCTAGTAACAGTTAGAGGTATGTATGCATACCTACCCATACCGGTACAGCATAGCAAAATTGGCGGAAGGGGCAATTGGATATTCTTTTCTCGATTTTGACAGCTCTGCTGGCAAGTGTTGCTGGTGCTAAAAGCCCTTCCTTTTGACGCTTGACGTCTTTGCTGGTTGCTTTGGCCCCACATCACCAAGGTCAGTCACAAAAACAGCACAACCTTCTTTCTTCTTTGAGAAAGGAGCTGCTGTGTTGAAAGTCTTTGCTTGGCTTTGGGCTCTCTCACTCCTTATTCTGCGACGACGAAGGAGAGCAGGAACCAAACTAGCTAGAGATTACCAAAGGGAAGAAGAAGAGAGAGACCTTGTGAAAGGAAAGCAACAGCAAGAAAAGAAAGTGACTTTGAGAAAGCCAGCTTTTTGGTGTCACTCTGCATCAAAACTCAACGCTAGCTACTAGACAGAGCTAGGCAATGGACGTTCTGCAATTGTCTCCCTTGAATTGGCTTTTTCACACATCATCCACTACTAGTAATAATAACGACGACAATATGTCACGATTTGTGTGGCTCGTCTTGGCGACCCTGATTTTCTTGGTGGCCGCTTTAGGAGAATCCTGGATTCCAGGTCGCATCACCAAACTACGACAGAACATTCGAGAACGAAAAAGAAGACACCGACAACGACATCAACAGGCAACCAAGAACCACAGCAATACAGATGGAACCAAAAAGTCAGCGCAAGAACAACAACAGGAAGAAGAGGCCGAACGCAAGCGTCTTTCCTTGCTTCCGTGGTGGGAAGACTCGTGGTCAGAAGCTTTTATGAACTCCTTTCCCTTGTCATCGTCGTCACCACCGGTCAGCAGCAGTGCGGCTTCTACGGTTGCGTCGGTGGACCCGGAGGAAGGAGCACTAGCAAAACTGGAACCGTATCAGCCCAATCCCAATGCTCAAATCTTGCACTTTTGTTTCATACTACACGGTCATCGTGGATTCTCAACCGACTTGTCATATCTGCAACGGGTCATGCAACATCATGCCGAATTGGGAAAGCGAGAACGATACAGTGATGATGATACTGTAGTACCGCATGACATGATTGTCCATTGTTCCGTCTGCAATGAAGGCAAAACCATGGACGGCGTGGTCAATGGCGGTGAGAGGATGGTGCGAGAGATTCTGGACGTCATTCGACAAGAGCTGGATCGAAGGCAGTCGGAACAAGACAAGATTCAAGACATTACCATTTCCATTGTAGGAAATTCACTGGGAGGCATCTATGGACGCTATGCCATTGCCAGACTGGCACAAAAAGCCGCTGACCAGGAGAATCATCCCTGCTTGACTCAATCTGCTAGCAGCAGCAACAGCACTGAATCTGCTGCTGCGACTGACGACGACGACGACGACGACGACGACAACTGTGATCTCTTTGATTCCTGTGTCTTGCTCGATGGAAAGTATCGTCTTCATTTCAACATTTTTTGTACCACTGCCACACCGCACTTGGGAATCTCCAAGCATACATATGTACCCATCCCCCGAAGCGTGGAGATTGGAGCCGCTCACGTATTGGGTGAAACTGGCAGAGATTTGTTTCGATTGAATGATCTCATGAAGACCATGGCCACTTGCCCGACATATCTCGAACCATTGCGCAAATTCCGCAAACGGGTCGCCTACGCCAATGCCTACGGAACAGACTTTCCAGTGCCGGCATCCACGGCGGCCTTTTTGTCGGACCAATCGACATATCCACACCATTTTGCTGCAACAAACAATAACAACAACAATACTCAAACACCGCAAGAAGAAGCAGACAGTCAATATGTCATTGCAACGCTGCATACCCAACAAAGCAAACTACTCCCAGTACCAAGTGCAGAACAAGAGGCCGTCGTGGATGATTTGGTCCAAATGAGTCAATCTTTGGATTCGTTGGGGTGGAAAAAGGTGTTTGTGGATGTTCGGAAAGAGATTCCATTGCAGGTGTCTCTGCAAAAGGCGCTCAACATTCGAAAGAGCCTGAGTCGGACGAGCTTGCTCTTGACGCCCAAGATTCTTCTACGACGAGGTTCTGGGTACTTGAGCGAAGAAGAATCGGACATTGGGACCCCCACGAGCAGCAGCGATGACGACGAAGACGACGCATCTCCGCCCGTGTCGGCCATTCACCGTCTTCGACAAAAGGGGGTTGTGGAGTCACGAGATGTTGCGTCTGTGGTTACCACTCCGGAGGATATGAAACTTTCTGTCCCTATTGGGCATAATCTACTGGTGGCCCTGTCACGAGATGGGATTTCCGGTGGTCTCTACAAGGCCGGAAGACCCGTCATGGACACCTTGGCCAAAGAGTTGGTGAGCGACATCTTCGATTGGAATTTTCAAGAAGAAACCGAGGTCGCTGAAAAGACAATGCTTGAAGGTGAGCTGTCTCGATAAGAGATGATGGTCTTGCACGACAAAAACGAACGAACGATCGAACGAACGAACGAACTAGTGTGCATTCGCTACACTTGCATAATTTTGCTATGAGGCTGTACAAATATTTCTGCGTAGCTACTACGTACACAAGAGTAATAGAGAACAAGCTAAAGGCTACTATTTTATGACAGCCATGTATTCTATGGGGGGAGTGAAAACCACGCGCTGCTTGTTGGTGTTGTAGAGTTCGCTCTTGGAGCAGGGATGGACTCGGAGAATCACTGTGCTGCAACAAACCATGGTATGTGTTTAGATCCCTGGACCACCGCTCGGGTCCCTGCCCATCTTCAATCAGCACCGCTTCAGCCGTGGTACCCTCGCACAGCAAATTATGGAAAGATAGTCCTGTCTTCCTTGGATCAATGCAGGTCGCCGTGGGGTTCGAGGGGGGACTACCCTATTCTAGCCGGTACCGTACAGTAGCTAGACCCCCCAAACCCAATGCTGCTATTGACAGCAGACCCAGATGACGTGTTTGAGTGATCGAAAGAACGGAAGACAACTATTGGAGGTAGCTGAGGTAAACATAATTTTGTATAAACTTTTTATTACACAATCTACGCATGTAATGCTTCCTTTGCAAATCACGAATCGAATCGAATCTTGAGACTTCCGTCCAGTTCTTCTTCGTCCTTCCATCACGCAACTTCCAATGACTGAATGCTGTGGAAGAAGCAGCAGCCTCGATTGGCTTGGATCTTCAACCGCGATACATACTGGTACTACTAGCTACTGACATTGTTATTACTGTAGTTCATTGCAAGTCGTGCTGGAGGTATACTGGAAGGAAGAGAGGTTGATTGAGTTGACTTGAGTGTGGCCGCTAGCTATTGAAGCTATTGACGAGGTGAAAAGAGGCACGTAGTTTGATCTTGCAGGAACGAAACTCGCCAGTCTTTGTCCATCTGATCGACTCGGCTCCGGACGCAAAAAGTTTCTCACATACGACAAAAAACGGCCAAGATGGAGAAGGAGGAATTTGCCAATGGCACCAATAGCCATGTGGACTTTGCGTCTCGTGCACCGACACTTTCGCCGACGTATTATGTGGATCCCAATGCAACGGTTGTGGACTTTGCCGAAGTTGAGAATGAACACGAAACAGATGCCATTACGGTACTTCTCATGAACGTGGTGATCATTGGTTGCCTGTTATTGGCCTACTATGTGAAACAACATCGAATCTATTATCTTCCAGAGAGGTGCGTGGGTATCCGGAGGGTATCCGAAGGGTATCTTTGATAATATGGGAATGGAATCTCACATGAACCCTTTTTCCGTTCAACAGTGCTGGTGCTCTCATGTTGGGCATGGTCATTGGGGGAGTGGCTCGATTGTCCACTGATAATTTGAAGTTATTTGAGTTTGTAAGTTGATGAGAGATTATATCTAATTTCTCTGTTGGCGTGAGGATACTGACATATCTTTTGACGTCTGACCTCATGGAACCCAATCATTCGTTACAAACAAACACAGTCGCCAGAAGTGTTTTTCTTTTTCCTACTACCACCCATCATTTTTGAAGCCGGGTACAGCCTGAAACGAAAAGATTTCTTCCAAAATATTGGGGCCATTACCCTGTACGCCATGGTCGGGACAATGATATCCACCTTTATCGTGGGATTTGCAATATTTTACTTTGCCAAAGCAGGACTCTTTGGAAAACACAGCATTGATACAGAAAATCCCATGGAGGCATTGTTGTTTGGAGCACTCATATCGGCGGTAGACCCCGTTGCAACACTCTCCATTATGGGATCTGCCGAGTTGAATTGTGATCCACTGCTGTACAGTTTGGTCTTTGGAGAGAGTGTCTTGAATGATGCCATTGCCATTTCCTTGTTTCGGGTATTCCTGAAATACTACGACCCCGATGGACCCGATTTTTCAGAATCCGAAATCCCATCCGCCCTCCTCAATTTTTGCTCGGTTTCCGTCCTGTCCATTGCCGTGGGTGTCACACTCGGGTTGACGGCATCCTACATGTACAAACACACGTCACTCTCGGATTATCCCAATTTGGAGACTTCGCTCCTGTTTTGCTTTTGTTACCTATGCTATGCCACGGCAGAAGCCGTTGAACTTTCCGGAATTATGGCACTCTTCTTCAATGGGATTGTCCTATCACATTACAACTCCTACAATCTGTCCTCGACGGCACATGTGGCCAGTGAACAAATCTTTTCTACCCTGGCGACGATTACCGAGACACTGGTGTTTGTCTACATGGGCATGGTGGTGTTTACTGGAAAATTCGCCAACTTTAACTTCCGCTTTTCAATCACGGCATTGCTGTTGTGTCTGGTGGGCCGATTATTCAACATTTTCCCCCTGAGCTACCTTGCCAACTTTTGCCGGGAGGGCAATGAAAGAATACCATTGAAAATGCAGTGCGTCCTTTGGTTTGCCGGACTTCGGGGAGCCATTGCCTTTGCTCTGGCAGCCAACATGCCAGGGAATCACAGAGATTTGTACGCCACGGCGACACTCTTTATCTGTATATTTACCACGGTGGTTTGTGGAGGTGTGACGGAAAAGATTTTGACACATTTTGGCATGAAACAGGGTTCCCGAGTTGGAGCCCATGAAAGCGATGACGAAATGAATGGTTCAGCCACTTACAGCCCACATCGAGGCAACAACAATTTCCGTGGCTTTAAGCGCGTTTGGAAAACATTCGATGATGAAGTCTTGAAGCTCTATTTCGGAGGGTCTCATCAAACGACAGCTGCGGATCAACACAGAGGCAATTTTGAGCTAGGGAGTTATTCCTACGAAATCAGCGCGCAAAGCTCAGAGGTGGACGAACTTGAGGTGAATGGCGACCTGGATATGAATGTGAAGGCTTAGATCCGACGCATGAATATGACATCACTCGCTGGAGAGTGGATGGGGCCACCAGTATCCATCTACAGCTCGAGAGCTGGACAACGGATCTGGCGACCAACATCCATCCCTCGATGAGACTCGGAAGTCCTCGACAACCAATGATGCGGAGACACTCTGAAGGGAGCTTTGAGCTCCTGCAATGGAGACGACGGAAAATCCTAATCTGAGTCGGTTTTGTACCCGTCAGCGACAACACAACATGAAAGCACTCTTAAGGACCGATTGTTAATCGGCACAAGCGGCGCAACTACCGTAGGTATATCAGCTTTCAATTTGCATGGGTCGATGTTTCGCACCCATATAATTCTCTTAGCGGCTTTCATACTGTTTAGAACGGCGCTTTCAAAAGGAAACTGAAGTCTAGTTAAAACGGATTCAGACAAGAGGTCGTTGCAGGCACTGGCCCCATATATCAAGGTATTCCCAACGAACAAGTCTACTCACCGGCCACACGTCCTTAGGGTGTGCGACGGCTTTGTAGGATCTAAATGAGTGAACTCCATGGCTATGCCAACGCTTTCATGAAAACATGGAAGTTGGAGGTTGAAGCAGGGAAACTTCATCATCTCTCTGACGTGGATGGAATAGATAGCTGTTGACGCTGAGTAACTGTACTGACAAATGTGTAGAACACCGCTTTCTCTGAGAAAGATGTAAGCAATGCGGTATCTGCCCCATGGATTACCCCAAGATAGCCAGAATAATCACTATGATGAATCTCCAGATATGACTGTCTCGGCAGATAGATGAACTTTGGGATCAAGTTCCATAATGGCAACGAGTAGTTCTTGCGGTGTTTCCGAAACCGAAGTGGAATCCTTCCCACAAATAAGATCATGGCGTGGCCCCGAACAGGTGTACCCCACAGTATCCACAAATGTGGCACCTACCACTCCCAGATTTTGTAGCTCGTCTAGAAAAGCACCTCTTCCAGGTCGCCCCGGTGAATCCCCCACCAGAACACGAGCTCCTTGCTGCAATGCTTCGACGGCTCTTTTGGCCATGGCTCTTCCAGTCTTTGGCTCGTACATGATATCGGCTGCCACTACCAGATCGGCTGTCGGTAAGGGTGTTGCATGGTCTCTCATGTCCAACAGTTGATATGTGATGGAAAATTCTTGCTGCTGCTGCTGATTGTTGTCCGTGTTTGGATTATTATTGAGTTTGTCGACTGCGTATTCCAACAGCTCCAGAGGAATTGACTCATAGTCCGTGGCAATGACATGCTTTGTTCCCGCCAAGAGCAACGACAGTGACACCAACCCTGTACCGGCTCCCAATTCCAAGACTGTCATCTGGGGCAACTCTGTGCGATACGTCGGATCTTGTAATATTCTCGCCGCAATCGCATAGGCTGCAGGCCATAATACCGCGCCGTAAGGATCCCCCGATTGGAGAGATGCCGCGTCTTGGCTTTCACTACATGGAGTACCTGGTTTCTCGTCGTCTTCCAGGGCCAAATTGACCAGGACTTCTTGTGCTTCTGCCGTGGCTTCTAGGACTACCACACGACCAATCTCTGGAATATCCATCGGCACTTCGATACATTCAATCCCCCGTACGACATGATGATGAGGAACATTATTATTGGAATTTGCCAATGATGATGATGATGAGTGCAAAACAACAGAGGGGTATCTGCTTGATTGGTGGTTGGAAAGCTGCGAGTTGATCGAAATGACAAAGGCGTTGACCACGGCTTGCAACCCCAACAGGAGGAAGAGGACGACTTGATGCTTGCTCCACATGGACAACGTTTTGGAAGGGTTGATGGCGTTTTGGAGGCAGGGCCTTGGAAGGTTGAGAGGGGAGTAGGATGAGGGGAGTATACTAGTATCTAGCTAGCTAGTTCAAGATCTACCGGTACTAGTAGTCTACCACCATGCGGATTGAGGGCCTGGGCCAGTCACGAGCCCTCGTGATTGCGGCCAATCTTTTTGAAAAGATCCAGGATCCACCAGAGAAATCTTGGCACCACAAACCATCACACATCACACCAACACCCCTCTTGTAGTAGCTTCTATCACTCGTCTCACCCAACACAAACCCCCCATCAAACCACTAAGAGGCATTCATTCTTCCTACAAGTACAGTACCGGTACTAGCTAGAAGTACACCATCAGTAACAATGCACTTTCTTTCCAAACTCCTGGCTCTTTCCCTCTCCGCTCCGTCTCGCATAAAAGAGTTTGCGCCCGACCACCAATTGCACTGGGAAGAACTGGGAGAAATCCTCATGAACCTCAAAGATCAAGGAGTGCCCGATCTCGTCCTAATGAATGCCCGATTGCCTACACTGCCACTCTCAAGATTGTCCATAAAGGAATCTCCCGGCAGAGGACGAGGCGTCTTTGCGGCTCAGGATTGTCAAGAGGGAGACTTGTTAACGTGTTATCCAGGAGATTTAATACTGCAGCCAACCGGATTTACGCCTGATCCCAAAGAAGTGGGCATTCAGGACGATCAATTATTGCAAGATTTAATGAGTCGGTATTGCATTGGAATGACGGACGACTGTGCCATATTAGGATTGCCAGAACGGGATCAGGACATGGCGTATGTTGGCCATTTTATCAATGATGCGTGCCAAGAACCACCTTCCAACGAAGAGGAATTGGAAGCCTATTTGGAAGAATCGCAAGCCAAAGCCAATGCCCAATTGATACCCCTGGAAAACTTGCACATGGTAGCGCTTGCCACGAGGGATATCCAAAAGGACGAAGAAGTCTTTGTCTTTTATGGACCTATCTATTGGATGGAACATACTTCCACTTGGAAGGGACAAGTACTGGAGCCTTGAGCATAGTCACCTGACCTTTTGTCATGGTCCAGTCTTTGGATGGATACCACTAACTAGCTACTAGTAGATCTCAGGGGTCGATATTCATCCGGCTCAGAATGGAGGATATTCCATGATTTCTCTGAAGATATGCGTAGAAAGAAATTCTTTCTTCATCTATGAAGTTAAGGTAGTAGAACCGAGAGAGGCAACGCAGGGTGCCTAGTAGCCAGGACAGAGCACCATTCTTTTGAACCGCAAAATCATGAGTGCCATTGTGTCCACCCCCCTTCTTGAGTAGCGCACTGGCACATATAGATGTGAACTACCTGGCAAAGTAACGGGAAAGGCAATGGCCTTCCTTGTTATTGACATGAACATATATTTCTAAGTTTTTATAAGTGGATACTTTCTAGTAGCTCCACCCCCATTTCAAAAAGACGTTTGGAACACCCTCAAAATTCTGTGTACTGGACGAGTTTACTCCACCAATACATTCATTTCCATTCCCTCTTCCTGAAGTCTAGCCAACACAAACTCGCGCAACTCTTGTTCCATTGGCGATACAGGTACTGTTGTTGACTCTTGGCTCTCTTCGTCGTCCGACGATCCCAACATGTCGTCTGGTAGATATTGCAAGAGGTCTTCACCCAGAACCTCTGTCAAGACTTGCTTTTGTCGTTCTGGACTCCCTCTTCCCAAAATCTCAATCTTGGCCTTGGTGCTCTCTCGCAACATGGGCGTAAAGAATTGGTAGAGTTTCTCGAACCAAGAGGGGGCATTGACCAAGAGGGTCTTGTAAGCTCGCTGAGGATAGTGAACACTCTGCATGACGACAAATTCCTTGACAAAGCTGAGCAAGTTTCGATGCCGTAACATGGAAAAAGTGAGACCCGTCATGTCAATGACAGTTGTCAATGTTCGAATGTCATGATTGTTGTCTGGTGTGGGAGGATCGAGGACATTGAACAAGTACTCCATCATAAAGGCATACTCCAGGACCATTTCGGGCAGGGGAATTTCATTTTTCTCGGCCAGTTCCAGCAATCGTACGCCAGAACCCAGTGCGGGTCTTTGCAAAAATACCACCTTGCCCGCGGTATCCCGTCCCAAAAAGACGTGTACCAGCATGGACTTGTAAATGTCAAAATTGGGTCGAGGACGTTGCAAAATGGTATCAATGTCGTGTTCCTTTCTCCATTGTAGCGTTGCCTGAAGAGCCGCCTTTGCCGCGACACGGTTTCCCTTTTGCATGGACAAGAACCGTTTGGGAATCTTGTCGGGGTCGTTTTCGCTGCCATCACCCGGTTGATACAACGAAAAATGATAGGGCTTTGTTGTAGTCAATGATGTCGTGTTGACCAGTGCAGATAACTCCTTATTATCGTTTTCCGATACCCCTCCACCATGAATCAAGAGAGCATTATCACGATGTGTCAGAACTACTTCTGCCAATGGGGAGCTTGCTTCCTCTGCCGGAATCCCAATGGCGCAGATGCATAGTAGTAGCAGCGAGCTATTGAGCCTGATCATCATTCCTCGATTTGTGTTTTTTTGGAAGGACCTCTCAATAGTCTAATCTATGGCGATTTATTTTACCACTGAGATAACCAATCAACCAGAGCAACAACTAAGACTACTCTTGGATAGAATAGATACCTTGTGACCAATTACAAGATACTAATAGATGCAGACGATTAGACTATCGGTGGAACCAAAACGGGTCCGTTTGCCGCCACAAAAGGACGATGTGTGACTCGACTCTTTGGCCTTGTAGGAATGCAGAGCTGTGTGAAGCGGAAGCTGTGTGAGGACACGGCACCAGTATCCAAGTGCTGTACAGCCAACCAAGCGACCAAGCGACCAAGCGCATGTGAATTCCCCATCAACCCAAGTCATTTCGGATCCATGAGCAAACCTGTGAGCACTGATCGGATCATCGGATCTTATAAGCTTACATCACTGACGTCAGTTCGTGACTCCAACCGACTCGTCACTCATGACGGCACCTTCAGTCACTTCAATTCACACCCGCTCTCATCGAGCTCACTCACCACACAAAAAAGATCGCGAAAGATCTGCCTTCTGTTGTCCGAGAAGATGCCACCGGTACTTCCAATTTTCCCACCACAATTCAAACGAAACCATGCATCTCCCGTCTTTGAGTACAGGTATCCTTTTGCAATACGTGTAGTCAACTCAATAATTCAACCTTTCCACCATGACAACGGCAACAGAGGATACCCCTCTTTTGTCGGGCATTCCGACGAGCGAGGATGATCAGAAACGTCAATCCTTTCGTCGTACTTCCTTATCAGCCAACTATGCCAATATTCGACCCGTCGATGGATTGTCTCCCCTCGCACCGGGTGGAGTGATTACTACTCCAGACGGCTACACAACAATTGCTCGACCACCTTCGGTCGTCAAGTCTCTCCCGGCATTTGCTCCTTATCGACGCAAGGCTCGCCATCGGTCCTTTACCATTTGGTGGATCAACGAATTCCGTCACTGGTGGAAAAAAAAAGAGAGAGATATGCCCTTGGAGAGGCATTCTCGATCAAAGTCCATAAATTCTTTGTATAGTTTCTCACGATCCTCCATGGGCAATGCTCTGTACTCTGGATTGTACACAAAGTCTCCCGACGGACCACGATCCCAAACCAGTGCACTATGCTTGTTAAGCAACGACTGCGCAGTCTCCTGCTGCTCTTCATTGCTACTGCCGCTGGGAACCGCCAAACCAACAGTCGTCGTCGTCGTCTCAGGAACTTCAAATCGATCCATCCAGGGTTTCAGCTTTTGTTCCGGCGTCGGTGGACGGTTGTACTGCTTGGTAGCAACTTGAAAGCCGGCTTCTGCCAGGGCTTGTTCGACCAATCCTCCCGTCGAGGATTTCCCGGCACAATCCAAACCCTCAAAGTACAAGATAACTCCCTTGGGAGCCTGATCTCCTGCCATCGCCATCATTCGCTTCAAATCCTTGGCGACTCTGTGGACTTGTTTTTGGAGTTCCTCGTACTGCCGCTGGTTTCGGCGTCGCTTTCGGGGTTTCTTAGCATCAGCCAGAAAGGTCTTGAGGGATTTCAGGTCAGAAGGCGGATTGGGATTGCGTCCAGTTCGTTGTTTGCAGAGCGTCTTGCACCCAACTTGGTAGGTCACCAACTGCTTGTCATATCTCTCTTTGAGTTCGGCAAAGTGATGGGGACTGAAAAAGGCGCCTCCATAGCAGTAGCCTTCGACTACAGGCGGGCCTTCAATTGTTTCCGGGCAATGTACTCTGACCAATGATTTCTTCGATCCACCGAATCCTCAAATTCCAAGACAATATAGCGAGGCATGACATTCAAAATAGAAGGTCCGTAGGGTGTCACATGAAGGAGAATCGTCAGTTCGGTCGAGCCATTGGGTGGTTTGCGACGACAGAAATAGACCGCATACCCTCCACTTCCAGCTCCTACTTGATGAAAGCCCTGTTCCTTAAGGATTTCTCTCTGCCCTTCCATGCCATCCAAGCCAATTTCCTTTGCCTTGCCAAACGCCTTGGCAACTTCCTTGGCCAGCACTGCCAGATCAGCTGTCTGAGATATTTCATCCTGTTCACAACAATCATCACTCAGTAGATTGAGCGTAGTAATGGGTTGAATCGGCAACCATCGATGTTTGGCCCCGCGAAAGAATTGGCGCGTCAGGACTCGCCCCACCCTGGACCCTTGAAAGGATGCCGCATATGGCGCCACAGCGCGAAGGCTTCCCAGAACTATAAACACAGTGATGGGATGCCACCAATCGTCGTACTGTAGCCACTGAAAGAGTTCATAGGCCATGGGCATGACGACATAGGCCACAAGACTGTCCACGGCCAATCGAGCCAACGTGCGCGAGACTCGATTCCCCATGAACGCAAAGGCTTCCTCGGTTCCCACTTCTCCTCGTCGACATTGAGAGGCTTCCGCCCAACGCCACCCTGCCACAAACAATCGCAAGGTGCGAGTAAAGGGTTTGACGTATTTCAAAAAGAATCGCATGGGTCCTCCTTGTCCCAATTTTTTGACAATCTTGACGGCTTTTTTGGTATTCTTGGCCATTTTGAGTGGATCCACGGTAATGTTAATCATGCGCAGCAGGAACGTGCCGTAAATGCCAAGTAAAGAGCCCGGCCAATCGGACGAGCAGTCGACTGGATTT